AGAGAAAGTTGTGTGGAGAGCTCAGAGCACCTTCCAGGAGCTGAAGGGGCTCCAGGGAAGCTGCAGAAGGACTCTTGGTTAGGAACTGCAGGGACAGGACAAGGAAGAATGGGGAGAAATTTAAAGAGGGGAAATTTAGATTAGATATTAGGAAGAAATTAATTAGCGTGAGGTAGAGACACTGGCACAGGTTGCCCAGGGAGGCTGTGGCTGCCCCAACCCTGGCAGTGTTCAAGGCCAGGTTGGATAAAGCCTTGAGCAACCTGTTCTGGTGGGAGGTGTTCCTGTCCAGGGCAGGGTGGGTTGGGACTACATGATCTTTAAGATCCCTTCTAAGCCTTAACATTCTATGATTCTATGAACAAGAGACATCATAGCTTTGCATTAGTGTCTTTAAATAAGATCCCAAACCTTCCAAACACAAGAGTCCAGGTGAGATTTGCAGCTCAGACTGAAAAACTTTCAAGTCCTCACCCTTCACACTCCCAAAACTGAAAGTTTGTTTTATGCTGACCAGCCTCATGTGGCCTTTAAAGAAAGGTGATAAACCTTGGATTTGGGCAGCTCTTATGTGAGCAGATTTCTGCAGTCATTACCCAGCAAACAGGATGTGCCAAGCTCACCCTCTCCCACTGAAGGCAGAGCACTCATTGCTATGTGGACCTGCAGCTCTGCAGCACTGGCTGCTGGTACTGCCGTGCTCTGTGTAGTGCATGGAGACATCTTGGATGTAGAGACCAGCCATGGCACAAAAATAGAGAGTGGCTGCCACCAGAGGTAACTGCAGCACAGGCCCCTGTTCTGGCACACCACTTGGTGTCTGCATCCATCTGAAGGGAGGGAGGTTGTCCTTCCCTGAGTATACACCATTAACCATTAGCTGCTCCAGGAGGAGAATGCTGCACCAAATCCTTCTGTCCCTTTCCCCAGCCATGTCTGCTCCCATCACCCAACCTTGGGCATGAGGATGAAGCCCACCCTTCCTCTCTCTGGGGCAACACAGCTGTGTCCATCCCACAGAGATGCCACCTGCCCACTGCATGCAAGGTCACCAGAGCCAGTGAGGTGCCTGGAAAGGGAGGGCAGGGAGCTGCCTTGCCCTGCTGCCCTGCACACAGGGAGATGGTTGTAGGCACCTCCCAGCAGCCACCGGCTGGCAGGAACAGGTGGTGAAGGTGAAGGCTGACACCTCTCAGCGCTTAATCGTTCCCGTTAGTAGCTTTGTGAATGGCAGCCAAAAAGTGCCATAATTGCTGCAGCGACGCTTGCTAATGACTCGAGTTGGATCTGGCAAGTAGTCAAAGGCAGGAGAGAAGAAGAAAAATTGCAGGAGTAGGATTGATATCTGAATTTCTGCCTTGGACCACTGCAGGGGAGAGCGGAGCAAGCCCAGCTTGGGACCTGCAGCTATGGACAGGCAGGGACCAAGGTTGATGAGTAAGCAGAGATACACATTCCAACACATCCCTTGCCTGCCGTTGGGAAGAGAAGAGAAATGAATGTGAACGAGAAGTGGAAATACAAAAAGCAGCCCAAATTTTCAGGGTAGTTCAAGTTTCTTGTTCCTAGGGGACTAAGGTGACCCACTTTGTAGAAAACACCTTTCTACTCCACAATCACCTTGAGTCAGGGCAGCACTAGGCCTGAGGAAAGCAGGGTAACTCAGCTTACAGCCAGCATCTCCAGCCCCAGCACAACATCCACAAGGCTTGTGCCTTGGGACATCCAGTCCACAAGTTGGGGCTCCAACTGATCCACCATCATGGCCATGGGAGCTGTTCCCAAGGAGAACCTCAGCCCCCCGTGAGCACACACACGCTCCTTCTGATTATGTATCTGTTTCTGAATGTTAACAAACAGTCTGCAGCAGCTGATTGAGTGGGTTATTAGCAGAATGAAGACAGATGGTGGAGGATTAACTCCAAAGCATCTTTATTGCAAGGCCAACACTGCAGACAGCTCTACCTCTCCCTCTGTCTGCAACTGTCACCAGCTTAATTTCACCCTACAGCTCTCAGCACACGCAGAACTGCGAGCCCAGTGCCAGCCCAGCCTTTGTCACTCACAGCAAAGGGAAAAGGTAGATCACTCACGCTGGAGCAGAGTTTTCCTGCTCCCCAGCCAAATGCTCCCTAATTTCATCCCCAAATCCAACACTTTCCCTGCTGTGAGCTTCACAGCAGCAGTAAAGCAAGAGGCAATCGCACCCAATGCAAGGAGAATGCCCAACCCAAATTTGCTGAGCACATCACTAGCAGCTCTTCTGCCTTACAACTGGGAGAGGCACCAACACTGCACCCACACCTGTGTTTTCACTGCAGAGATTGTATATGTTGGTAAGAGGAACTGATGGAACTAACATGGACAGAAGCAAGTTCATGGACACTGATTCTGGCTTCTCACCCTGGAGCCCAACTCAGCTGGAAGAGCCATATCTGCAGTCACCTGTGCTAATGGACATCCATCCCCTGCCAGCTGGTAAACAAACAACATAATGCCATCAAAACCCTCACTGGGAATGGCTATGGAGCATCTCTAACCCACAAGATTTATTTTACCTTGCTGGGAGAGGTTGCCAGGCTGGCCTGCAAGTGCCCAGCCGGATCTTCTCCATGGGGACAGCTAAGAGAAACGTTTGCATAGAATAGAATATCCTGAGTTGAAAGGGATCATTGAGTCCAGCTCTTGGCCCTGCACAGGACACCCCAACAATCTCACCATGTGCCTGAGAGCATTGTCTAAATATTTCTTGAGCTCTGTCAGGTTTGGGGCTGTGCCCACTGCCCTGGGGAGCTGTTCCAGTGCCCAAACACCCTCTGGGGGAAGAACCTTCTCCTAATATCCAACCTAAGAGGTGATTTCCCAGTGCTTCGTTACCTACAAGCGATTTGTAGATGTCTCTGTTAAGTGACAGCAAGGTTCTAATGATCCCTGTAATTACCTATTTCCACTAGGATGGAGACCCCACACCTTATAATTATCCCATTGCCCCACTGCCTACCTGTGCTTTCAGTTCCTTCAGCTCCCCTGTAATTACTAATAGGGCTATTCATTAGCACCATTGTGCAATAAAGGGAGAAAAAGCTCTCACTTGGCAAAAATCCAGAAGGGAAACTGTCTCTCCCCTCATCCTTGCATGGGAACTGGCCCAAAGAGTCAGGCTCAGGCACCTCAGGCAGGAAACTCCTTCTCTGTACCTCTGTAGATGACCAGACAGCTAACCCCCTGTCAGCCTACACACCACGGAGTGTGGATCTGCACTGCAATCCACCGAAAACCCTGGAGGCTGGAGGTCTGCAGTTGTCATCCAGCACCGCTTCTAGTGAAAACACAAGTCCTAGGTGGTCTTTGTAGCCATGGAAATCCCCCTGACTTTTGTTTTTGGCAGATTGTACCTTTAAACATAATGGTCCTGCAGCCTGCAGGGGCCAGAAACTGGCTGCACGGCATCAGACATGAACACTTTGTTCCCTTTCCCACACAAAAGCTTTACTTTTGGCCTTTCATGTTTCTTTGTTCTCTCCACACAAAGCCACACTCAGCTTGCAAAGAGGCTCACTTCGTAGGCAGATGCAGGCTTTGAATCCACCGGGAGACCAAAGCCATCCCAAAGGATTGGCCCTGCTGCTCTGGGACACCCTGGGAGCATCCCCAGGGTGCTCCTGCCAATCTGGGCATGGCCTGTCCAAGAGGATTGAGGGACAGGAAGGTACCAAGAGGGAGAGACTGCACCTTCTCACAGCTCTCGGACGAGCCTCTGCCATCCCATCCCCCAGGGGAAGCTCCTTCCCTTCAAAAACAGCCTCTAATCAATGTTTGAAGAACATGTGGTAATTAACAAGCACGAGGTGAAGCCTTGTGAAGTACTTTCCCCACTTTATCAGCTCAGTCTCAGGGCTCCTGGGAACGGGAAGGAACCTTTGATCTTCTAACTGATATTTGAGCCACAAACTTGCCTCTATGACAGTTTTACTCCATGGAAACTAACTCATCTTTTGCTCTCATGAAGACAAAGTTTCCTGTGAGAACAGATCCGCCCCATGGCTAATTGCTGGTGATTTGCTGTCCCACACAAGGAAAAGGAATCATGGAATAGTTTGGGTTGGAAAAGACGTTTGAAGGTCATCTAGTCCAACCCCTTACCATGGGCAGGGACACCTTCCACTAGACCAGGTTACTCAGAGCCCCATCCAGCCTGACCTTGGATGTTTCCAGAACAGAAAGTGCAGTGGGGCAAGCAATCACACTTTTTGTCCAAATTATTTCCAACCAAAGCCCCTCAAAATGGTTAAATCAATGTTGGGGTCCAGTTTGCCATTCCCACAGTGATCTCACAGCAGCCAAACTCTCCCTGACACATCCTCAAACCCTCCCATCTCACAGAGCTCTGGGGTCTGTAACCTTTGTCTCACTCAGCACGACTCAGAAGGTGCTGCACCAGGGTTTGCTCCAGGAAAAGAAGGTCCCAGAAGCCAGGATGCCACTTCTTCCCAGCATAAGGAGTTTTTGTTTAGCTATTATGCTTCATAATTATTTATGATATTTCTATAGATTAATCAATGCTCATGAAGTACTTGGGGGATGACTGGAATATAAACTAGGGAAATTTTAGCAGGAGTTTGATGAGCTGTGGAATGGTGCCTCTGAGAGGTGCAAAGCCACTGAAAACTGAGATTCTGAGGGTGTCATGGCACTACCACCCAACTAGAAAGAAATGAAATGAGTAGATGCAGCAATGGCTGGAAGAGCTTCTCATGTGACAAATCCTCTCAGTGGGAAGAGACAGTGGATTTTGGATGTATGGAAATACTAAACAGCTGCTCTTCTCTTGCAGCTTCACACAGGGACATCCATGCGAGCTAAGATGCTCCAAAGATCAAAGGAGGAGTAGGATTTCCTCCTCAGTGTGAACAAGAACTGAGCACATCCCTAGCAGTGACACCCCTCGCAATGAAATTGCTAAAGGGGAAGGAGGAGGAGAAGGTGAGGGAAGTGCTCACCTTCAGTCATCCTGCGGTACTTCTCCTTGTACATGAACCCCAGTACTAGGCAGCATCCTCTTCCTGGGAGCCCCAGTTCTGCAAGAGAAGAGAGCTTGGTGTTAGACTGGGCTGGGGACAAGAGGCA